GAAGCAAAACACGTGGCCACATGGGAGTAACCCCTTCTCTTCGGCATCCTTGGTCGTCAGCAAGCAGATCATGCACTGATAACCTTTTCCCGGACTCGATGTTGAACTATCCTGCTCCGGTGTTGATGCTCCTGGAGTAGAATCCACCTTCTCTTTTCCTGTCTTCTCTGCCGTGATGGCACATTCGGATTCCGGGATGGGGCACCCAACGACCCCTTGATCAGCTTCTCTTTCAGAGAAGACATCGCTTGTACCATTTGATATGCCACCATCATCTTCATTGTTCACCAGGTTCCTTGTCTCTGATGCTTGCTCTCCCCAGAGTCTTCTCTCCTCTTGTCGACCAACCGGAGTGAGGAGATGGTCTTCAGGTTTCCCCTTGGAATGGATCGCTGGATGGTCAGGAATCAGTGCTGCTTCTCCCACTGCCAGTTCTGACTCGTTGCCTCCCTCCCTCCCTCCACCTAACGACTCCACTTCTGCACCGGGAGAAACATCTGCCCCCTGCTCAGATGCTCCTGCAAAGGGAATAGGTATGCAATTGCCAGAATAGGCATGTTGTTCAGCATCTTCACTGGTCGGGCTGTTCTTCTTTGATAAGGTGCAATGACCATCACTGCCGCATCTTCCGACGTCTTCAGGCAAGGGTGTCGGGTCTCGTGGAGGTCGTCCAGCTTCACAATGATTTGTGTCTCCTGCATCCAAAGACTCCACTGCCATTTCCTGAACAATGTCATCCCTGTGCTCAGCCTCTCCGTCAACAGACGGGTCACTCGTACCTCGCCAGAGATGGGCATGGCCTCCGTCTCCTACCTCTGAATACCTCGTCTCTACAGCTGGCTGTTCCCAAAGCCGTCTGCGTACTTCTCTTCCGTCTTCTGCTTCAAGGGGTTGGTTTGCAGGTCGGTCATCTTCATCCTGCATCCCTGTAGACGACGGTATTCCATGCTGAAGCTGCAAAGAGGATGGGTTCGCAATGCCAACACAAGTCCAACTAGATGGCCCTCGGAGATATTCTGGTAACTTCGGGAAGACAGGGAATCCTTGCTCAGAGTTTTCACTTTCACATTGCCGTCTTTTCCAACCACTGGCTGTGTGAAAACATCCAACACGCGAGGAAGCCAAGCCGCTATCCTGTGCGTCACACATGCAGGACTGGCTAGTCACCACTGGACAGTGCAGATCAGCACCACTGCCCGCGCTGTTCCGACAAAGAGGACCCGCTGGCAGATCATGTTGCTCACTCGGAGGAGAAAGCGCATGGGAGGAACGAGGCTCACAGCATCCATCACCTCCTTTCCAGCCCACTTGGCGATCTTCACTCCTAGTTGGGTTTTTTGTTAACGGAGTGCCAAGACCAGTTGGTTCTTCCTTATGCCGTCTATGTTCTTCAACCCTTTCATCCAAGCGGCCATCACCATGATAACAGTTGGTTCCTCGTGCATCAGAAGCAGGTCCGACATCAAAAACGACCTTGCTCAGCAAATCCCTCCCTGGATTCTGTTCAAGTGATCCTGCAGAGCGACTTCGTATTTCTCTCTTACAGCTCGAGGCATCATCTGCAGCCGCATCCTCAACATCCTCAACCGTCGGATGCTTACTGGACTGTCGTCCATCCCCTTCAATATCACCAATATGGGTGTCCACAGCCTCCAGTGTGCTGTCTGAGAGGTTGAACCGGGCAAAAGGACTTGCAGACGAGCGAGCGAGATCGTAATTGCAGCAAGCATTGCCATCCTGTGGAATCCTTTCTTCAATCACAGCTGGCTTGGCAGCAGGAACTACTATGTCTGGGTCACAGATACCACTGGTCCTCGGAGACATAACAACATCAGCTGCCCCATGTGAAGGGTCCCCGGTCTTGTCAGGACCGCTTTGAATTCCAAACCCATACTGACTGGCAAGATTACCAGCATATTGACTACCCAAAGGGCCAACACCGGTAGAAGCATCAGGAGGAGGACTAGCAGACGGAGCAGCAGGGCCAGCAGAAGGACCATCAGGAACACCAGCAGAAGGATAAGCAGAAGGACCGGCAGACGGACCTGCGGAAGGGCCAGGAGGAGGACCAACAGAAGCACCAGAAGAAGGACCCGCAAAAGGACCGGCAGAAACAATAGTAGGATCAGTACCGCCAGCAGAAGGGTCAACAGAGCAATCAGCAGCACGACCAGCTGAAGGACCAGCAGCAGGGCCAACAGAGCAATGAGCAGCACGACCAGCTGAAGGACCAGCAGCAGGAACAGGAGAAGGAAGACCAGCTGAAGGAGCAGCAGAACGAACAACCGGAGGACCAGAGGGAGTACCGATGAAAGAACCAGCAGATAGACTAGCAAAAGGACCAACACCAACACCAATAGAAGCGCCGGCAGAAGCTCTGGCAGGACCCACAACAGGACTGGCAGAAGGATCGGTAGAAAGACAAGCAGAAGGACCACCGGAAGAACGAGTGGTAGGACCAGTGGTAGGACCAGTGGTAGGACAAGCACAAGGACCAGCAGGATTAGCAGAAGGACTAGCAGCAGGAGGATCGGCAGGAGGATCAGCAGGAGGATCAGCAGGAGTACCAGTGAGAGAACCAGCCAAACCGTCAGGAGCAGAAGGACAAGTCAGATGATCCGCAGATGATTTGACATCAGCAGCTGTTAGATCGATGACAGAAACGGACTCTGTTGCAACAGCACCGATAGTTGACTTGGTTGCAGAAATGTCATGATTGGCAGCTAAAGTGGCTACAAAGGCCTCAGCCGAACTACCACTGTCATTAAGATCTATCCAAACTCCTGAGGGGGATTTCTTCTTCCTTGATTGCACTAGGGACTGACTGTTGTTGGTTGACCTTTCCATGGGAGAGGAGTAAGAAATCCCCATGTGTGCACGTTTTCCATCCTTCTCCCGTCGCATGATACTGTCATGAGGATGCCCCTTCCTGGCTTTTGCTTTCAGATCAAGGTCCGCATCTTCACGGACGAGACGACGCCCTGTCGACGAAACTGACATGGAGGAGGTCAGGTCAACTTCTCCCTTACTGTGTCGAGGAATCGCGGCTCGTGGCCGAGGATAGATGTTCACATGGGACCTCACCACTGCCTCCTTGTTGTACTCCTTATCGCTGCTGCTGGAGGAGGAGGTGCTCGACAACGACTGGCAAGCGGTGGCCGGACCCTTGGAGACCGATTCCGTTCTACCKGAGCGATCAGGCCTCGTCTCCCTGGGTGATTGTCCCTCCCTAGGGGAACGACTGGCCACACCACCTCTGGGCAAACTGATGGTTGGCGACTTCAGACTGAGAGTCGAACGGCATTGACGCCTCTCAAGGTCATTCGTCAAGCGCCTCAATCTCTGTGGTCGATTTTCCATCCGCTCATCGCACTTCGAGTTCTGTTCCCGACATCTCAATCCAGATTGCAGTCCGACACTTGGCATGCTCTCCTCCTTAGTGGGGGGGAACGGTCGTCTTTGCCCATTGCAAGTACCTTTGTGCGGCCGTGACTTGTCGGTTTCGCAGGAGGGTCTGTCCGAATGACTACTGCTCCCAGACTCTCTGCTATCGGAGTCACTGAGCCACGTGGAAGACTCCCGGGACACCGTGCTACATCGGGACACCGAACTGCCGCTACTCTCACTACTGCTGCTACAGGAATGCGCTGCGTGGCGAGGGTTTGTGCGCCTGCGAAACTCTTTCATGAGCTTTGCATCATCATTCTGAAAGCCCTCGACAACAGAGCCCCCCTTGCGAGTGCCTCGACTTGTCGTTTTAGACTTCTGACTCACCCCATTCCTTGTCGTTGGGACACGATGCCTTGCGGATCCTCCATGTTCGTCCCTGACATGCTCCGTTCCCTTCTCCTTTTGCCGCACCCTTTCAAACTCCCCACTCAGCTTTCTCATTTTGCCCCTTCTGGTCTCATGACAACCATCATCCACAAAGGGTGAAGATGTCCTTCTCCGAGGCTGCCGTTCTGTAAGCAGGGATTTCTTAGGATTACGGCTACTCGAGGATGGAGAGGGATTCGATGACCTTGCGCCCTCGCTGCAACCCTCCCTTAGCCCTCTCTCTCGCCTCACTGCATCGATCTGCTTCTCGACTTTGTCCAGCCAGCTTCCTCCTGACGAATACTTCGCCATTTTCTCTTTTCCCATTTTCTCCATCCTTGATTCCCTCCAATTTCYTTACTTCCTGCGAACTCAACTCGTCGTCAGAAAGGCAGGCTGAGAAGCAGTGTGTTTATTATGCCATTCATTTCTCCCATCTCCGAACCCTAGCAAAAAATTTGCAACAACAAGCCATGCGGCGGCAAATCAGCATTGCAGCAACCCAAAACATAGATTCCTTCCAATTTTTTGCCGCTTGCTGTGAACTCAAGCGGTCAGAAAGCCAGGCGGAGAAGGAGTGCGTTTAAGCCGTTCATTTCTCTCCTCCCCCCCCCCCCTCTATTGTAAGAAAAGCAATGCCGTTCATTTCGGCCATCTCTGACCCCCTGATAAATTAATTTGCATTGAGGCAACAGAGTCGTTTGGGTTGCTGCAAAATGTTGCCATGACGCAAGCCAACATTGCAGGAACCCAAAAGACAGACCCCCAAGCAGGCCGGAAGAAAACGCTCTTGGGAGCCTCATGGTGTATCATCATTATCATTATGACCATTCAGATCGGAAATCGTATACAAAAGTAACACAACAGAACCAATTTGATAATACGCTTCTTTTTCCTTACACAGAACAGAGTCTTTCGACTCGTTGGACAATACGTACTGGACTTATTCATCATCTGTCGTTCAGGGCAGTTTGCCAGGACCTTGCTCTATGTCCTTCCTTTTTTTTTGCCCCCCTCAAACCTTTTGGTTGCTGTCCCCCCCCCGCTTTTGGTGTGGTCTTCAGAGTCTTCACTCAACCGCGCTTTCTCTCACTCTGTCATGGGGAGGA